ACGGCCACTTTACGGATACCCATAACAGGATGGTTATTCACAGTTAACGGGATTGGACCATGCGATCTTATAATAATCGTAATAGTAGTAGTAGTAGTAATATGCAGTGAACTTGGAAAACAATACGACTCTTGGAACACAAATCAAGGATTAACGATCACGGACTGGATCACGGAAGCACTGGACCGCAATGGCACTGGCACGCAATATCCCACGTAACTGAGACCCGAGGAAAATACCACAGGAATGGTAGTTCTTAGTTCGTTTATTGAAAGAAATAAAGGCAATTAAATAATATTTACAGAGGAATATCATTGGTTATCAAGGCTTCGACCAATCGCATTCCAGTATTGCTTTCGTCATTCTGCTTCTATCTGGACTGCATTGTCTCTGATTGGCTGGCACGATCTGCCTATGGTATGTAGTCAGAAACAGTGACACGTACGCGCGTCATTGACGTCACCTTTCAAATTTGATTGATCGCAGGTGTCCAAAAAGTGTAACGCGTTGCTCCAGGATACACGTTATCTCGTAGGCCTGGATCACCACAGACTTCCAGTGTCTTATCATGGTATTCACTGTGGGCAGGACCAGAGATGAAAAAAATAGTGCAGTCATGCGCACCTCCTATGGATGTGCAGAAAGTAAATCGCGGGCAGTTATCTACCAGAACCACGGTGAATCGTATCAGATTGGTGTAATTCATTTTACCTTTTCCGGATTACGGAACAAGTGTCATCACTACTTATATCGAAAAGAGTTTACCTACTGGATATATATCAATCGTTTTGAGTGTCAAACCTCGAGTTCTGTTCTTTTCATTTCTAATTCGACGACAGCAAAAAAACGCGTTCGAGCATGCACCAACAACAGTTATTCCAGTTACGGTACATCATCCAAATGGATCTAATAATCCTATTTCACGCCAGGAATTTTCAGAGTGGCAATCAAAAATTCTCCGGTCCCTTGAAACCACTTCGTAGTGGCAGGTCTCGGTAAATCGTTTTGTTATTTCACCCAAGCTATCGGAAATTGGGTAACCTACCAACCAACCCATTGTATGTGTGCCAGGAGTTACTTGATGGAGCGAAATGGAAATTGTACACATCCTGGAGGACACTTATTCCAATTGTTCCAAATGGCTAAAAGCTGCTCAAGTATTTTCACTCCTTTGTCCGGTCTTATTTGTTTATTCTTAGAAAATTATAATCCACGGGATACCATTGTCCCGTTCATTGAATCTATCAAACTTATTGTGCAGATTATTTACTGTGATCCTAGCCCGCAAGATGATGCATACCCGCGAGCGACGCGTTACAGTTTTAGGACAATGGTGATCAATCAGGCTTCACGGGTGACGTCGGCGAAGCGCGTGCGTGTCACAGCTTCTTAACTACAGACTATCGGTCGATCGTAACAACCAATGAAACGCCGTGTGGCCAGACAGAAGCAGAACAAGAACAGAACTACCAGAACGCAATTGGCAGAGGCCCAGATAACCAATGAGCTTGTTTTGTACGTAATATTTAATCCCCCTAATTTTTCTCAATAAACGAACTACTACTCCTGAGGCGTTTTACTCGTGTCTCGGTTCCGTGGGATATTGCGTGCAAGTGCCTGTGTGATCCAGTGCTTATGTGACTTCCGTAATTGCTAATCAGTGATTCGTATTCCGCGTTCATTGCGTATTACTACTACTACTATAATTGCTACAGTATCCCTTAGGGTTGATCAGTTCCTTGATCAGCTCACATGTCATTTTCCGTCGGCCTATCCAATCGATCCCAATGCGAGTCAACGGTGAATAAATCTCAATCCCCCGTAGGACGGTCAATTCACTCGACGAACAAGTGCTCGAGAATTGATTAGCTACGAATCGTTTTCTGTTCTTCACTGAGTGCTGCCATTGTCACCCGCTCATTCTCCTCCACCATCGCTTGCACAGTAGCTATTTCGTCCCTTGTAGTGGCCTCCAGAGGTCAATCAAATCGTGTCTCATCAATCAGGGACCACGTGCCACCCCTGAATTTCATAAACCGCTCAAACGAAAGGTTTCTTGAATGCACCAGTGGCAGCTCGTAAATGAATAACAGTCTGTCACTACGACTTTAGACCACATTTGTAGTCGTAGAAAACCATCACCCTCAACTGACATCAACTAAGTTCCTTCCTTACGACAGTCCGAGTATAGCGACCCTCGTAGGATTTCTGAACTGTGCTCAGACGTGTTGATATTTGGTTCTGTGTGTGAGTTGCAATCACTGAAAAACATTCACCATTCCTTGTCCGGTGATCATCTGCACTTCGTACTTGTCGTATACACGGTGTATCCGGAAATCTGGTTTTTGCTCACTCCAAGTATTTGTTCTGATTTATCCGCGTAAACAAAAAGAAACAATTAGTAGTATTTCCACCGGAATGAAAGTGCAGAATGCGCATCTCTTTTTTTCGTGAATGTACAAGTGTCACAGGAAATTAAGTTTTTCTTAGACAAAAAGAAGGAGTTTATGAACAGAATAAGAAGAATCGCAAATGGATTCCATAATTGAGAGCGAGTTCACCAAAGATTGTTCCACGAAGATTGTTCATTCTGGTTCCTTAAACCGGTCTCCTGTTAGCGCAGCTTGAGACTATTTTCTTACGCTGGTGATACAACAAGAACGATCGAAAGTAGAAAAAAATCATTTCTCAATAACCATGGGATTTGGATAGCATCGTTGTTTCCTTGAGTTTCGAAAACGGCAGATCTTCTCCATGCTTACACAATCAAGTCTCAAAGCTCCAGAATAAACTGTTGAGGCGCACACCGGAATGATCGGGGCAGCACAATTCCGGAATCACCTCTAAGGAGCAGATTTTCTGGACAAGCAAGGATATTGGCCTTCTGGTTGTATCAAACTTTCAACAGTACAGACAAAATGCTTCTAAGCGGACAGTCCCGGTACATTCCACGTGTTGACACTTGATCTGACACAGAAAGTGTAAAGTTTTCATTTGGGCGTGAAATTCTGATGTTCGAAACGGGATCAATAACTTGTTTCTTGAGTTACCAATGAAGACAGTCTCCTTGACCTATGAGCTTCGAAGTTATTCCCATAATAAACTTCAGCAGTCTATGAACATTCCCACTGATCCGTTACAGTTTCCTTACAGTCCTAATAGATCCACCCAGTCTTCACCCTCATTCATTTTATCACTAAGTCTTTGAACAGCTCTGTTAAGTCTGTTCGGTGGGTTTTTTGAACTTCTTTTCTGCATTTGATTCCATTCCTAGATCTAAGTTGTTATAAAAATTGTAATCGTTTGAATGGCCCGAACAGTTGTTAGCTTAGCTTGGCTATCCAACTATTTTACCGATAGGGTACAAACCACTAGATTGGGGAAGGCCATATCGCCGATAGGGTACAAACCACTAGATTGGGGAAGGCCATATCGAAACCCTTAGTCAACAACTCTGGGGTCCTTCAAGGAGCTGTGCTATCCCCATACTTATTTTCCACTTATATTTGTGATACTCCCTGTGTTTCTCCCGCACGAATTTTGAAATATGCAGATGACGTCGTGTCGTGCCAGTCCATTTCTGCCTACTCTGATCTAAGTTCTTTTACCGATAATCTTGATCAAATTCAGTCTTTCTCCTCCTTATCAGGGATAATCCTAAACCCCAGTAAATGTGTTGAGTGTTTTTATAGTTTTGCTCGCTCCCCGTATCCGACAGACTCCACAGTGAACGAAAACAATCCTTTAGCCGGGGTGAACTCTGTCAAATATCTTCGTGTAACCATAGATGGCAATCTTCACTAGTCAACCCACATCCACAACTGCATTGGCAAACTGCGACGCCTATCATTTCAAATTCGAAAGCCCAGTCAGTTATTTCTACCTTTGTTTATCATTGTGTTTTTCCCATCTTAGTCTACTGTTCCCCGGTTATTTTTCCTGGCTTCCTCAAATAAGATTTTAAGGTCTTACACCGCGATCTAACCATTATTAGTCGTGTCTCTTCTATTCCTGTGAATGCATTGGCTGTAAAGCTTTCAGAGTATCACATAACTTCCTGTGTGGAACTTGCTGGGAGGATTCTCACAGATTCTGACCACCTATTGCATGCAGAACTGACACTTTGTCCTTCCCATCATTCAACACGCTCCCAATTCCGCCAAATTTCATCTCGAATTAATGTTACCTCAATTCACCTACACCGTATCTTGCTCGTTTACTCACAAACAAAGAACTGACAATGAGTGAACTTTGTCTTAACCTTGGTTAGTGAAATGTCCCTATATCTGCAAATATTTTCTCCCAGTTTATTATCTACATTGCGACGATTGGCGTGTACGATGTTTTAACTGAAGTGTGAGATTGGGTGCTTGCAATAGTTATACACGTACAATACGATACAATACAACTTGTAACTTTGAACATTTTAAAATCTTTACATGTTTTGTGGATAAGGCTTCCTCCGCACACTCGAATTCCACTGTGGTGGAAATTAATAAAGGACGTGAGAGGCTGAGTTACAGTATTGAATACAGTGCTACAATAATACTACAGATAAAATTTCAGTCAGAAGCTTTCTTCTCCATTGAAGATGATAGTTCTCGCATGAGTTCACAGTTACCAATAGTTCTTATCCGCTAACGCTAATCCACTCATACCTTTTAATCAGAGCTGGGTGTTGATTTGCAAAATCCCTCCACTTTTGACAGGCGACTCTGCGGTGCATTGACGGGGATCGTTTCATCATGCACGGCCACGCTGTTTCTTTGTCACAATACATTGTAGACTATGCGCCGGTTGAATGTCGGTCCTCTGAATCCCTTTGCAATTCGACCTCTTCGAAGATCCCGGACCGGAATAGACAGAAAGCCTCAGTATGGTCGGGGTTGGTTGCCTCGGGTTGTGACTGGTCACCCGTCCCTTACACCTCGTGAAATTCTCCTATATGACCAAGCGTCTCAAACAGCCTTTATTGAGGAAGCCTTGATTACTGCCTTCCCATGGGAGGTGTCGTTCCCACTGAAGTACGAGGACGAAAAGCCAACATCCAGGGCTATAACCGGGTCGGGAGTTGGCTAAAACTCGTGAGTTCGAACTAACCAAGAAGAGGCGTACGACAGACAAACCATCACATCTTCCTGGTAGGGATAGGGGTCACCGGTTCGATGGGGCATCAAGGTGTATTGACTGTCTTGGACGTTTGATCCCGTATGATGTAGTGAACTGGGCACCGGCCTCTAATGGACTGCGAACTCTGAGCTCCACCCTGTTGTCTTGCAGGTTTGGCTTCGGTTAAAGACCCCGAAGTTACGCCCTATCCTCTATCACGACAACTGGGTAAAAACACTCCCAGAAATATTTTGTAGCACATTTACCAGTTCTGTGCCATTGGTTACGTGTTGAACTAAGTGACTAATGTAGACAGATTCACTCACAATCTGCCACCTGATGTGACCTTACAAGTAACGCATAAATTCACATTAGAAGTCAAGAGTATTCAAGGATTATCATCAATGCATTGAACGGGAATAGTAAAATCCTGTCGTGCGGTTATCGATCGGAATGAAACGGCACGGTGCACAGAATTAACCACAGGTTAGAATCGGATTTGGGTTAGTTTGAACTGCGCAAATATCAGTAGTCCACAGGCCGCACGTAACTGTTCAGAATTGTCTGAAAACAACATGTTTCCAATTGATGTGCAGTTGATATCAACAAACATTTCGATGGGCACGTGGCATGCCCGATGACATGGAGTTTGTTATTGTTTTATTGTTATTATTGTTTTTCAACAGAATTCAACAGGTCTTAATCACCGGAAGAAGAACCGGGGTCAACTGTCGAACGAAAACAAAAGCGGGATTGGGATCAAAATACACACAGACACACAGACGCACACATATTCATCAGGTGGAACGGAAAACCCATACCAAATCTGTGCATTGCTGATAGATTTTTTTCATTATTTTGTTTTGACCTCGTCGTCAACTATAGTGGCGTTCCCCGTACAGTGGATGAGTGAATGAGCTGAAAATTTTGTCAAGCTGAAGAAATACAGTTCAAACAATGGAAGAGAGGGTCATGCGATTTATTTTTGTACTTTAATATTATCTTTTTGCTTGCAGAAATCCCTGAGTCAATCTGCACCAGATAAATTCGCATTGTTGGTACGATTGTGCACGAACGAAATGCCTGTACGCAATGCACACACCATACCCAGATGCAGTTTCCTCCAACGAGAGTGAACTTTGGAAACTACATATCGAACAAACACATTTGGGAAGTGTTGATTGTTAACTCGATCGATTGACGATGTGTGCTGATTTCATCTGAAAGCAATTACGATTTATTTTACTCTCGTCAACCTGTCTATACTATGGTTTTCTGTATAAAGTGCACGACCGGTGTGGCTGTACGCCGCTACCCGGTGCATATTCAGATCATGTGTATAGCTGAATAGCCATAAAACGGCTGGGGACAGTTTCATCAAATGGCTGGTTGCGGACGTTTTAGCGGTGAGAATTTGGTGGATTTTCACCGGCAGAGTGTAACGAACACCGAAAACTGTGTGGGAGTCTGACCTGTCACTAAGTGAGAGTAAATTATCACCACACTGCTGCCTTACAAGCAGTATTTGGTTGTACAAGTCCTAGGGACACAACCTAAGAGAGGGGCAAAAGTCTGATTAATACGGACAATGCCACATTGCAGGATACTCTGCAAATCTGTTCGCGAGGTCGACTTATTCTCACGCTGGCGAAGCCTCACAAAACACAAAACAATGGTAAAACCCTTTGCCAAAGGTTAGTAGCCAATTTCAATTTATAGTTTCTTTTTAAACATGAAACAGTTTGTATGAAATAATCACCTTAATATTAAGAAATTCAAAGTCGTCGTTTTATTTTGATAAATACTAGCAGTTGCTTTTTTATGTCCAATTGGGTTTATTCGCAAAACTCGATCGATTTCCGGTTCACAGAAAGATGAGCAATGTCGCAAATTGTCTCTGTTTCGCTACGCCACTGCTACGGATGCAGAAATTTCAGACTTGTCAAAGTTTTTACTTGAAAGAATCACTTATGAGCGCCAAAACAACGTGGCGATGCTGGCCTACGAGACGTATACATGATATAGTTTTCGGACAATCGTAATGAATCAAACTTCCAAGGTGACGTCAGCAATCTGTTTACGTGTCACAGCTTCTGGACTGCAAACTATTAACCAAACAGAAATCGTGCGGCCTAGACAGAAGCTGAACAACACCAGAAATACTAGCCCACGATTGGCAGAGGCTTAGATGAGCAATGAATCTGTTTTGTAAATATTATTTAATCCCCTTGATTTTTTTTTCAGTTAACGAACTGCCACTCCCGTGGGTTTCTCCTCGCGTCTCGTTTCCGTGGGATACTGCATACACGTACCACTGTGATCCAGTGCTTACGTTGCGTCCTCGATTTGCCAGTCCATGATTTCTAATACATAATCAATGCGTTCTAATAATGCCACAGTTACTACATTTACTGATCACAAAGAGATACTTCATGTTGCATATTTTCTTTGTTTCCTGTACTGTTAAAGATTTCTAAATTTCAAACTTGTCCATGTTTCATCCAGTTTGTGCTTGAACCAATCAGTTGTGAGATAGTGGAGCATTTCAAATAGTGCACACTCTGAGGCCAAATGAATGACACTAGCATTCTACTTGACAGTGTTGAAGCACTAATTGCAATGAGTGCACCCATCCCTTCGAAGTGAGTGTTGGGTGACATGGTGAACGAGGAACGATATGACTGAACGGAGTTATGCCTCATTTGATACCGCACACCCAAGTCCCTTCGAATTGGGCGATACCGTGTGTGTTATACAAACCAAATGTTTCCAGTCCTGCCACATTAGTCTTGGTGGTCATTTGTTGTGAACATTCTGGTATTTTACGATCGCGTTGCAGTCGTGCATTTCACACTTGAATAGTCTACTCTATTCAGGGTTGAGTTTGTGTCACAGATTGTGAGTATAGTCCTTATAGATAGTAGTGCGATGGCTTACGCACCAAAAGGTTGATCATGTACCTGAATTGATGATGTCAGTAAGCTAACCAAGAACCGTTTGGAAATCTCTTTCGACGGAATACTTGAAATCTACAACCCAGGCAGAATCACCGAACGTGTGCAACGTGTGTGTGTGTGTGTTTGTGTGTGTGTGTGTGTGAATCCAACCGCGTTATCATTCAAATCCTGCTTGTCTGTTCTAATAAACTACTGAAACGCGTAAAATTTGAAGTTCGTCGATTGATGACATATTTCGTTGAACAAGAAAATTGTATGATACAAAGCCATGCCTTAGGAACCGACCAGTATGTAGGTAATTTTTACCGTTTGGCTATAGTAAGTGGACAATACGCCTGTACATATAGATAGTTTATTTTTTTGACTTGGTGATGTGATGTACATGAACCGAATTTTCGCTGTTGAACACGTGATATAGGAATAGTACAGAAATACACCACAAACTGGCAAGAATGACGAATTCAGGCGATGTTCACAAAGCTTAGACCAACATGACACCGATCCGCAAGTCGCGCAACCCGATCAGCCCACCGTGATGCATCTAACCATAGATCAGAATTTCTGTGCTTCGCAGCACCAGACCAGGTCCTTGTTGTGTTCAAAATTAAGTAGAAAGACGAGCACGCAACGAATTAAGCATTACGTGTATTGGAACGGTAATTATTTAGCCGGTTCAGCAACCGAGGAACAAGCAGGAACGAACAACTTGTAGAAAGGCAGGCAGGTAGGCAGATACGGGCTCACACATCGCATTACATCCGAATGCCAGCCTTCAAACGAGCATTCAAACAGTTAGCCAATCGATCGATCCATCCCTCAATCTGACCACAGGCAAGTGTGGCAAACGTGATGGTCAGTTGTAGGCCGCAACACTCCGCACCAGCTGTACTCACTGTTTAGCAATTTGGTTATTTTCCCCAGTTCATCAAAACGCTTCATACCCATTATCTGTGGTTATTACTTGCAATTACTGAAGTAATTTTGATATGCATACACTTATCAAATAGTTATCACTTTATCAGCACTCAGTCACATTGCACACAAAAATAAGCCATCTGATGAGCCCGTTAATTCACACGTACTGAATTCCGACACACTTCATCCACCGAGAAATGCACATGCAGGGAAATTCCATTACTTCCAACAATTACAGCAGTGTTCAATTTTATGATAATTCGTAACCTGATAACCTTAGAGGTTTGCAGCGTTCCTTCACCAAGTTAGGCCCAAAAGCAATCCTTGTTGAAGATTTTCACTACACCTGTGTGAATTGGGAGTTTGCCAGATACCAGCACAGTGCATTCATCTGTATCACGCAGGACAACAATGATAATGATGACGACGACGATGATGATATTAATAACAATAATGATGACGATGATGACTCGGATGATAATGATGATGATGATGATGATGACTCGGATGATGATGAGGACGTTGATGATGATGATGATGATGATGACGACTCGGATGATGATGATGATGGTGACTCGGATGATGATGATGACTCGGATGATGATGATGATGATGACTCGGATGTTGATGATGATGATGATGATGATGACTCGGATGATGATGATGATGATGACCCGGATGATGATGATGACTCGGATGATGATGACGATGATGATGATCGGACCACCATTCAAAACAAAACGAACAATTGAGCCGATATTCAATGTTGGTTCGAAACCCTTCTAACAGAGTGATACTATTTGTCTATAGCTCAAATGAATTTGATCGATTTCAAATCGGTTAATCAATTTTACCGGATAAACTTGTTGATATAATGACCTTCCAGCTTCTATTTTCATTCCACTGTGGATCGAGTAAACCCATGGGGCTTAGGAATCGTGGCATTTCATAGGGCGACAAGTTAATTTCGCTTCTGAAGGCTTAATCTGATTTAGCTCCCGTAGACGCACACACAAACGTGTTTATTCTCCTCACCTAATGCGCCGCTGTCCACATTCATACGCTTCCCGTAGCACATATAACAATCTTTGATCTTGAATAGCGAGTCTTTTAGAAACGCAAAAATCCTGGTTTTATAATCCGGAAAGGCATGTGTTTCTCAGTGTGCTATCCCTTTCCGTTTCTTCGTTTCCTTCGATTAAGTATTTTACACACCCCGTGAACGAGTAGTATTGATCATCAAATCAGAAATTCTCTCTAAAATCAATATATCTTTCATCTGCAATAAAAGAGTACTGGTGGCCAATCTGATGTGTTCTGCTGAGAAATTGGTCAGAGAACACGCCTGAGATCACTTTAATCATTAAAAGGAACCATTCATATATTCAGTGGAATGTTCCGATCGGTAAGCCATTTTTGTCAAATTTACCGATCATTATTTCCAATTCTTTTCCTATTTTTTTCTTTATATAATATGAAATATAACGGAACTTTAGATCAGTAACTATGTGATCAGTAAAAGATGTTGCCTTCATGATACACGAATAGGTGAGCAAATTTCACTCCAGTGACGGTCCAAGACGCTGATCGCCTTACATTCAATGTTTAGTATAATTCACTGAAATACTTCGGTTCGTTTGAACCGAACTGAATTCAGTATAGGAAACCAACTCCACTGATTTACCAGTACCACTCACTGTTCGAAGCGCAAACTGACAATAAACAATCAGTGTCTCGTTTTTCCAGGTGTGCAAAACGT